AGTCAAGACACTCAGAAGGGATGCAGGTCTGATGGAGACACACAGTCAAGACACTCAGAAGGGATGCAGGTCTGATGGAGACACACATGTGAGCAAATATGAGAACTAGAAAGATACAAGTAGAACTGAGCCAGGCGTGGTGGCACACATCTTAAATCAGTGATCTCGAGGCAGGGGCATTCTAGGCTAGCCAGGACTATGTAAAGATCCTGTCTCAAAACAAGAACAAACAAAACAAAAACAACAACAAAACAAAAAACTAGAAAAGCCAGAAAGTCCCATAAAGATTGGGACAGACACTCTTTCCGTGTGTGTCCCGATGGGGGACTAAAGGGTGTATATCAAATGGTTTGAAGTTTTTTAGTAATGGAGAGGGTCTGAGATCCACAAAGAACTATGAGAAGGCTTGAGAACCCAAGGTTAGTAAGATAGCAGCTTTGCTGTTGGAAGCTTCAGGGAATTCAGATAGCTAAAGAAAGGTGAAGGTAAAAAGCTCCACTAAAAGAGTATTTTGTTACACTTCATAGAGGCTTATAAAGTGGCTAGTGTGTATATATGTGTACATGTAGCTGTAATAGACACATAAATATATGTATATATTAATATCTATATCTGTAGATATAAACATATCAGCAAAGTTTAATGTATTTGTCTCAGTCAATACAATCATAGATGCTATCGAATTTGCAAACTCACAAGGTAAATTTATAGACTTTTACTTGTTTGAAGTTGTATAAATCACTTTGCTTTTGAAAAGTCACAGGATTAAATTGATTTTAAAATGCTGATTACAGACTGGAGACATGGCTCAGTGCTTAAGAGCACTGGCTACTCTTCCAGAGGACCCAGGTTCGATTCCCAGTATCCTCTTCTGGTCTCTCCAGCATCAGGCAAGCACACAATGCACATAATACATGTTCATATACATCTTTAAAAAAAAATACTGCTTTAAAAATTCTGTTTGAGGAATCATACACAGGTAAGAATTGGGGGTGGGGAGAGAATGAAAGTGGGGGCTGGAGAGATGGCTCAGAAGAGCACTTGTTGCTCTTGCAGAAGATCTGAGTTCCTTTCTCAGCACCCACACTGTGACTCTGTAATTCTGTCCGTAACTCCAACTCTAGAGGATCTAAAGAAGAAAAGGTCATCTGGCTTCATGGATACCAGTGCACATGGTGTAATTACATGGCATGAATACACAACAAATAAAATTAAACCTTTTTAAAAGACGAAATTGTAACCTCTTGGTTTGTACAGGACTAAACTCTTTTTAGTATAAAGCAAAACTGTCGAACAGAAAACAGTAAGTTTGAAGTGATTTAGCATTTGCAGAAAAGCCAGTTATTACGTCTGACACCTGTCTCTGTAACTTTAATCTGAAAGTGCTAATGACCCTCATTGAAAAAGAAAACCGCAAGTGGCTGCACAACAGAAAGCCTTCGTTTACTGCTAATTAAATTCAACTGCTATTGTCTTAACATTTTTCGGGTTTGGTGAGTCCTTCCTATAAGCGTTCTCCATCCATCCATTGTCAAATATAACTTTGAAATGCTGCAGTGAAGGGCAGAGCACGCGAAGGAAGTCCCCTGGGCCACTTCACGTTCACAGGTCGGATGCTGAGCCCCTCAGAAGGAGTTTCACAGCTTGGGGGGCGGGGAGGTGTCACCAACTCAAGGACAGAGGAGGCAGGTTGGGGATGGGCTCCGAGGCAGACCACCCCGCCCAGGCCCAGAGATCACTCTCAAGGATGCCCACTCCCGAAAGGGTCCCACACCAGGCTTCCCCCCGAGGGAGAGGTAGGTACTCACTGTCGATGTCCTCGATGAGGCTGGCGGTGCCGGGCATATAGTTCATTTTGAGCTCTCGCAAGGCTGCTCCGGACGGCCGCGAGGGCGTCCAGTCGCCCGTCGGCGGGACGCGGACGGGAACCCGCCGCTCACCTGCACCTCAAACACCGCTAGTCGCCGGAAGCGTTTCAGGTTACCCCACCCACTTCCGGTATCGCCAGTCCATCTACAGAAAGAGGCGTGCCGGGCGTGCGGTCGCAGACAACGTTTTCCTCCTCTCTAGTCAGTGAAGTGAAGTCCAGCTCGGAAGGGCGGAGGATAGGCGTTTCCTTACGCGTGACAAGCGCTGTCCCTCGCCTCTCTTTCCTGCTCAGAGGCCCGGGTTGACCCGTACGGTCCATGACCGCTCGGCGCTCCAAGTGCAAGGGGCGGGACCGGCTCGGCATTGGCTGTAGCCGTCCTACCCCCCTTCGCAGCCCGCCAATACCTGACGCCCGCAGGCGCCTGCGCAATAGGACGGTCGTGGGGGGCGGGAAGCGCTTCGCGGCAGCGGAGCCCATGTCGGCCCTGAGGCGCTCGGGCTACGGCCCCAGTGACGGCCCTTCGTACGGCCGCTACTATGGGCCCGGGGGAGGCGATGTCCCGGTGCACGTTCCTCCGCCCTTATACCCTCCTCTTCGCTCGGAGCCTCCCCAGCCTCCGGTTTCCTGGCGAGGGCGCGGGGGCGCCCCGGCCGAGACCACCTGGCCGGGAGAAGGCGCAGGTGGTGATGGCTACTACCCCTCTGGAGGCGCCTGGGCAGAGCCGAGCAGAGCTGGCGGAGGCCACCAGGTAAGCTTCGAAGTCTTCTCCGGAGCTCCAGTAGGGAAGTCTTGGGCGGAGGTGAGGACATTTGAGGGTTTTATACTTAGGGTTTGTTAACGACTCGGGTTTCTGATTTGTTGTTCTTCTGGGGAGGGTGCAGAGACGAGGACTGGAGATGTGAGGGGATGTATGCTTGGGTTCCATTTGTTCCTCCGTTTTTACTTCAGCCATCATAAGTGTGTCTGTTACCACGAAAAAAAAAAAAACCCGAAAAATTATTCTGTGCTGACTTCCTAAGCTTAGGAGCAGGCTGCAGGATCTTTCTCTCCCGAGAGCGTAGGTTAGCGTGATTGGGCTGTAACAATTTATCCTGCGTGGCCAGGGCAGCTGCAGCCCCAGTCGTTACTCAGCAGCCCCTCCCGCGGGGAAGGGATCCGATCGGATCGGACCGAGGCGGGCTAATCATTTTGTTCCTTATCACTAAAGCTCTGCCTGGAATTGGATCAGGAATAATCAATGTTGTAAAGCGCCTTTATGCTCTATTGAATCATCACAGGACTGCAAGACAGGTGTTATTAATGCTTCCCAATTTTTGAATGAGGAAAGCTCTGAGAGATCAACTTGCTTAGTTATGTTTGGAACTGTAACATTTTATTACTTGCATACATGCCAAAAATATATTTCTAGTTTCTCCCTGTGTGGTGCTATCATTCTAGGATGGTGGCACACATCTTTTGGCCTTCAAAACATTCTTACTTGCTGAAAATTAATTACAAAATTCTCACACATCCATGAGGGGATTGTAAAATAGTATAGTGCTTTGGAAAATAGCTGGGTCGCTCCTAAAACTTCTGACAGAGAATTTATGATCTAGCAGATCTACTTGTAAGTTTACTCAAGAAATGGAAAACAAGGGGTGGTGTGTGCGTTTAATCCCAGCACCCAGGAGGCAGAGGCAGACCAGCCAGCCTGGTCCACACAGACATAATAGGTTCCAGGACAGGCAACATGGTGAGACCCTGTCTCAAAAAAAAAAAAAAACAACAATAACAAAAATGGAAAACATGTTCACATAAGAAGATTTAATACATCTTTTTAGCACCATTAATGATAATGGCCATAAATTGGAAATAACTCGTATAGTTATCAACTGATTGCTGGATTAATAAACATGACTTACATTTTAGAACATAACATCTAGAAAGGTATGAATATTCCCCTCCACACCTCTCCCCCCCTCACATATTTGTTTCAACATGGAATGAACCTTGGATAGATCGTGCTTGGTGGATGAAGTTAAGTCACAAGGATTGCATTTCATATCGTGTGATTCCATTTGTATGTAGTGCCCGTGTCAAGCAATTCCTAGAGACAGAAACATTGGTGGTGGGTTGCTGGGGTTCGGGGACTAGAAGGAAGTGTTGCAAAACAGGGCTTTGAGGTGATACAATGTTTTGAAGTTGGTGAGGATAGTTTCACAATTCTGAGTATCCTGAAAACCACCGAATTGTATATTTTAACGGGGTAGGGTAATTGTTTCTCTAAAAATTGTATAAGAAGAAAACTATGTAGCATTCAGAAGTTAGCTGGAAAGAAGGCTCTGTATTCTCTGTGCTGATTCAGTAAGTAGGATGGGATAAGTAGGCCGATGGATCTACTTTAATCACAGGCTCTAGAGATGTAGGACTCTCAGCCTTTTAGTACTCAAATTAAAGGTAAGTTGATGAGGAAAAGGAGTCGAGTTTTAACCTGGCTTCTACAGAGTTTATTATTAAACTAAAAGTCTGTCTTATTAGGGAAAGACTTCCAAAAGTTGAAGTTGAGCATCATGTTGGGAGTTGTGAGGTTGGAGTAGAGCTGAGCATATAGGGCAGGTTATGGGGCTAGAGTCGTTTGAGATAACTGGAAATGTATAATGGGCATCTGTAAATTTGTTTTGTTTTGTTTCAAGACTGGGTTTCTCTGTGTAGCCCTGACTGTTCTGGAACACCATCTGGAGATCAGGCTGGCCTCCAACTCACAGAGATCCACCTGCCTCTGCTTCTGCCTTTGCCTATGCATGTTGTCATAGATGTACTTTTTTTTCCCCCAAGTCCACAATCTTAGCTTTATTGGCTTTTACTAAATTTTATAATTATCTGCAAGGCACACGTTGCATGTAAAAAGACTGGGCTTTGGATCCCTAGAACCCACATAAGTGTTGGGTGGCTGGGATGGCTCAACCAGTAATTCCATGTCAAGAAGGTTGAGAAGGATCCCCAGAGCTAGCAAGACTAGCTGGCCATGTGGGAGAGCTCTGGGTTTGATTGAGAGTGCCTCGTGGAGTGAGGTAGAAGAGCTGTTGAAGGAATGGGCCTTGGACCTCTATATGCGGGTGCACCCTGCACAGGTGTGTCCCCATACAACTAAGACTTGACTAGTTAGCCTTTCCAAGACAGGCTCTCTTGTATCTTAGGCTGCCTTCAAACTCACTATTCAAGGATGATCTTGAGTTTTTCAGCTGCTTGCCTCTACCTCTCAAATGCTGATTTTATAGGTTAGCCCCAGCCTTCCTAGTTTTTAAATTAACATATTGAAAACAGCTGGTAGTAGTACAGGCCTTTAATCCCAGCATTTGAGAGGCAGAGGTGGATCTCTGAATTCAAGGCCAGTCTGTTCTACAGAGCACGTTCCCAGGATGGCCAGGTATCATAGAGAAACCCTGCTTCCTACAAAACAACCAAAATTAATATATTTAGATATGGGACAGGGTAATATTAGAAGTCTACCACTTTTACCATTTTTTTTTTTTAAGAGACTGTTCAGGGCTCTTCCCTGAGGAGCCAGTTGCTCTTCCAGAGGACCTGGGTTCAATTCAGCATCCACATGGCAGCTCACAACTATCTGTAACTCTAGTTACATGTTTTTGTAATATTTTTATCCTATTGCCACTGTTCTTGGTTAGCCACCAGAACTGGATGATAAAATCCTATTGTTGAAGACACCATGTACTTTGTTTGCAGGCCATAGAGAAATCAGAGTGAAACTGAGCTGGAAGCTTTCTCCCTTCTGGCTAGTTTTCATAATGGCTGGAGTTGCTGTGCAGGCTGCTTGAGGAAAAAAGTTCATGAACAGTCTTAACTAGATACGTATATTGATGTCCCAGAATCGCCTCACAAACCACACAAACATCCATTTCCATCAGACAGGGAGAGTTTATTGAGCATATGTCCCAGGACTGGTCAACCAGGGCCACTGTCCAGATATGGGAACTGACTCCAAGTTAAGATTCTGCAGGGTTTTTAAGCCCCAAATCTGTAAACATCTGTGCCAAGTTAAGGGGATTTCCTTAAGATTAAGTCTGTGTTGTATGTTTATACCTGCTTCCATTGGTTGGGGTATTCTACTATGGCAGGGACTTTGCTTTGTCTTAACTTGTCTACTAGGGTGGGACTTGTCTAACATTCATATCTTAACTTGCCACCCAGGATGTCATTTACCACGTACATGTCTCTTTCTGCCAAGTAGGATGTCAATTCCTAGGGAGGTCTTGGGAGCTTAAACTTTACTTGACCCCTATTCAAAATGGAAGTCTTATTCCAAATAGTTTCTTATATTGCTGTAGGTGTTTCTCTTATGTTGGGGTCCATCCCAGGGGCAGCTTATAAAGGCAAGTACATAGGTGCAGGAAGTGCTGCTGGGTGGTTGGTTCGAGTCCAAGCTTATGGGTAACTATACAAAACAGTTCTACTGATTTCTATCGTGATTGGTTTCCAAGGGCACAGAACATAACAGAATATGTAATCAACTTGGCATTAGAAAGTTTCCTAGTAACAGCAGAAACATATGAGAAAGTTTCCTTATAAATGGCAGGCTGGACAGATAATGGTTAGTTAGGCCTTAATATTTTACCTAGGTTCTAACAGTGGATTCATGCTAATCCACTAATTTGCCTGGCAAAATGTGCCTACCTGTGTGATGGAGTGGATGACTGTTGAAGGGTCACCGAACACTTTCCAGGAGAGAATTCATGTTACTGTAAGCCTGTTCAGAACCTATGGCTGGGGTGGTTGTAGACCCTAATGGGGAAAACTGCTACTACTGTTGTTTTGCTAAATGGACAAATTGTGCCCACCAAAGATCTTCCTTCTAATTTTGTTTATGTTCACAGATTCGTGTTGTTCTCAGGTTTGGTCAGGGTTTGATTGGTGTTGGTAGTGGTAGTAGGGGGTTGTGTATGGTAGTGGGTGGTAACTAATAATGCTCAGACTCAAAACTGGTTACTGTGCTGAAAAAAGTCACTGTTGAATGCTCAGCCCTAAAGAAGTCGTGCATTTTATCCCCTCCAAGGATCAAAGAACAGAATGTAAGAGCCAGAGGAGGGAGAAGGGTGTTATGAAAGACTGTCTTCTGGTATGAATGATGATTGCACTGGTGAACTCAGCACCTGTGATTACCTATAGAAGACCTACACAGCACTGGGCTCAGCACAGCACGGGGCTCAGAGCGTTCCCTTGTTGACAGAGGAGAGGCTCATTAGGCCCCACCTGTCTGAGGATTTATGGGCCATAAACAGAAGTTGGTAGAGTGGCTGACAAGGCACTCCCTTCCAGAGGAGAATGACAGCTAATAGTTGCTGGGAATGGGGTTTGAGGTGGTCATCAATGATGTAGCCACTGTTAAGTAGTCTGAGCCCCTGTAAATAACCCCTCATCCATGCTCATGAGAGTAACTGAAGTTAAACGTACTTAAGAGATTTGAGGTGACAAAAGTGAGATTGTTTAGAAGAGTGAGAATGTGAGCCTACTGACTGACTCTGTAATTGTTAACAGCGCTGAGTGCCCACTTGAGCCTTATGGTGATAGTGTAAAGTGAAAACAGAGGCAGAGTGCTTGGCACAGGACTGCAATCCCAGCTTTTGAGGTAGCTTAAGGGGGGATAGAAAATCTCAGGCCAGACTGGCAATGCCATAGAACCCTGTGTCAAAATAAAATAACAAATGGTTAGGGGTGTGCCACACTGGTAGAACACTTGCCTAGCATCACAAACTCTGGGTTTTATCTCCAGTATGAGAAGAAAACTATCCAAATTAAACAAACACAAAAAACTAGAGCGCTGCTTGCATTTTCTCTACACAGCTGATAACTGCATTTCAGTGTGTGTTTTTGTGAGGTGAATCTGGCTGAAGAAAGAAAAGCAAGGAACTAGGTGCTAGGAACTGAATCAGGAAGAGAGGAAGTGAATAGTTTGGAGGGTCCTGGTAGTTAAATTGAACCTTAAAGAGTCACCAGGAGGGACTGACCCTTAGGGTCTGGAGATTTAGGCTTAGGTTTACCACATCTAGGACAGTCAACTTCAGTGCTTGTCTTCTTGGTAGAGAGTGTAGGTTTAATACAGCATAACCAAATTCCTCTAGGTAATGCAAACTAGCATTACTCTAGGTTTAATCCAGTATAATCAAAGCTCATCTACTTAAGGGAAATAAAAGTGGTTTGTTATCAGCCAAAAGTGCACTTAAACTGTAAGTTCAAAGCAAAATGGGTCACCTTTTGGAAGAAGAAACATATTGTGTGTTCAGCTAGACAGTCAGAAAAGTTTAAGAGTTGGTTGGAGGATTCTTGTTTTGTTTTGTTTTGTTTTGTTTTGAGACAGGGTTTCTCTGTGTAGCCCTGGCTGTCCTGGAACTCACTCTGTAGACCAGGCTGGCCTCGAACTCAGAAATCCACCTGCCTCTGCCTCCCAAGTGCTGGGATTAAAGGCATGCACCACCACCGCCCGGCTGGTTGGAGGATTCTTACAAGAGTTAGTGCCTTATTGCAATTTATTTAAAGACAAAGCCTGAAAAGATGATGCTATCACAGCTAGAGTTACACCTCCAATGGTGATTGTTCTATATGAGTTGATGATACTGAAGTTATAAGCAGAAAGCGTGGCCATATGATAAAGCACTGGAATACAAAAAAACCAAAAAACAAAACAACAACAACAAAAAAAACCAGATGTACTTGTGGAGTAATAGTTTTATGTTCCAAAGTTGTTAGGTAAGTATAATTCTAAATAGTGATGAATAACTTATTTTGTACCAGTTAAACAGGGTAAATATTTCATATCTGAATGTTTGTGACCAGATGTATTTCAGGTTTCAGATTTTTGAAATCATAGAACATGAGTTATTTTGAAGGTAGGACTTGAATCTAAACATGAACTTTATTTATGTATAATTTTTTACATGTGACTTTGAGGGTAACTGTACAGCATTTTAATGCCCCTGCATTTTGTTTGCTTTGCTGGGCTGGGGATGGAACCCAGAGTCTCTAACATGCTTAGTCAAGTGCCCTACCATGGAGCCATACACCCATGACCTGCATTTGACTGCAGTTCATCAGACGAAATCAAGTATGAAGTTTTTCTTTTGGGATGTCATATCAAAGCACTAAGTGTCCAGAATTAGAGCAGTTTGGATTTCAAATTTTCAGATTGGGTATACTCACATGTACTGATGAGTAGTGGTGACTGACATAGATAAAGACAAACTACTGTCTCTGGTTTTTTAGTCATGTTGACCTAAAATTCCTTTTATTATCATTTCAAGTGGTGTGCTATGTAATGCACAAGACCAGTCTTTTCCAGATGTTCAGTAGTTGTTCTGGGACATGTGGTTTACTTTGTAATTTATCTTCTTAAATAATGATTGTAATGTCTCTATACTAGAGCTTCTTTTTTGTATGTTCTTTTTGATTCTCCTAATCTTGCCTCATGTTAGAAGTATTTGATTTGCTTGTTTTGCTGTCTAACTGAATTGGACGTGTTACTGCTCCCTGTAGTTCTAGCACCTGAAGGCAGAGGCAAGAGGGTTGCAAGTTTGAGACCTTGGTGATGTAGCAAATTTCAGGTTACTTGGTGTATATAGGGAAACTCTGTTGCAAAAGAAAGTATCAACAGCAGAAAGAATGCTGTTTAACTTGTTTCCCTTTTTTTTCTTAGGAACAGCCACCATATCCTGGCTATAACTCTAACTACTGGAATTCTGTACGACCTAGGGCTCCGTACCCAAGCACATACCCTGTGAGGCCAGAGTTACAAGGCCAGGTATGGTTGAAAATTGGCAGATTTTCTTTCTTTCCTTTCCTTTTTTTTCTTTGATGTGTTTGTTTTTTTGTTTTTGTTTCTGTGTCCTGGTTGTCCTCAAAGTCATTCTTCTGTAGATAAGACTGGCCTTGAACTCACTTTTCTTGAGTGCTGTAATTACTTCTCAGCTTTCTTTTCTTTGTTTAAATACAGTTTTATATAGCACAGGATGGCCTTGATTCTTGACCCTTGACTCTCTTAAGTGCTAGGATTATAGGCCTCTTATCACACCAGTTTTATTCAGTGTTAGGGATCCAGTTCAGGGCTTCTTGAACACTAGGTAAGCATTCCAGCAAGCTTCAATTAAAACAATTATTGGCATATATTAAGTATATGATAATGGGTCTCATGACATTTTTCTCTTTTTATTTTGTTAAATTTTTTTATTCAGTGTATTTTGATCAGTCCTTTTCATCACCTCCCAGGTGTCTCCACCTCCCTCCCTCTGTATCTAACTTCTTGTTCTTTCAAAAACAAAAAAGAAAAGGAAAGAAAAGAAAAATAAACACCTATAAAACAAATAAAAAAACTAAAAAAGACATGGAGTTTGTGATGGCCAGCTACTCCTGAATGTGGGTTTAACCTGGTGTGTGGTGCTGTACCCGGTGTCAGCTGCATTTGGAGTAGCTGATTTCTCTTTGCCAGCAGGTACCAACTGCAGAGAGCTTCTTGGTAAAGGACTTGCCCTTTTTCTTTTTTTAGGGTATGGGTGTGCTGAGACAAAGTTTTTCTGTGTCGCTTTAGCTGTTCTGGAACTCACTGTGTAGACAAGGCTGGCCTCAAACTCACAAACATCTGTCTGCCTCTGCCTCCGCCTCCCAAGTGCCAGGGTTAAACGTGTGCTGCCATACCCAACTGTACTGGAATGGCTACCTTCTGAAAGAACCTTTTGCCCAGAATAACACCCAGACTGGATGTTCCCCCAATTTCTGACATTGAGATCAAGTCACATGACACATTTATGAGAACTATCTCTGCAGAAATTATTTTATGAACAGTGTGATGACAAAATGTAGATATTTTCTTTTCAGGGATCATCTTTTTGAAGCCGTAGCAGCAGGTGGAAATAGTGCCGGCTCAGAAAAGGCCCCAATTTCTTTGCTAGCTGGCAGATCAGAGTGGCTTGACTAGAAATGGAGGGAAAGAGATTAGCCAGAGCTAGCTGGAGCCACAGTGGAAGACATGGGGTCCCTTTAGAAGAGTGGAGTTTTATGTTGTAGATAACTGTCAGGTCAGCTAGTGCTGCAGCTGGTCTATTAATGCTGGCCTTGTTCTAATGACATGGAGTTGGTAAGACACAGAAAGTAGTAGCTCCAGAACTTTAACTGTGTCAGGATATCTGGAGCCTTCCAGCATTTGGCTGGGATGAAAGACAACAAGATAATTGTAGCTATTAACAAAGACCCAGAAGTTCTGAGTTTCCAAATGAAGATATGGAATAGTCACAGATTTATTTAATGGTTCCTGAGATAATGAAGAAAAAAAATAGGTCAAGGTCATAATCATGCCTTAAGAAAACTGTCAGGTGGCTCATTCCTTTACTCTCAGCACTTGGGAGGCAGAGGCAGTTGATTCTCTGAGTTAGAGGCCAACCTGATCTACAGAGCAAGTTTTCAGACAGCCAGGGCTACACTGAGAAACCCTGTCTCAAAAAAAAAAAAAAAAAAAAAGAAGGTAAGAAACTATAAGTATTCTACTGAAATTATAGAAATAGTTTTAGGTAAAAATTCTAACAGCAATACAGTATCCTTTGATGAACTGATTATTTTTTTTTTAATTATTTGTAGTTCCAAACAGTTATTTTCTGAAATTTTCTAATTCTGTAATATATAGTAAAGCTTTAAAAAATGTAAATTAGTTAATGTAAGTGTATTAAATATCTGGAAGCTGGGCATGGTGGCACATCTTTAATCCCAGCATTTGATAGGCAGATCTCTGGATTTGAGGCCAGTATGGTCTAGAGTGAGCTCCAGGATAGTCAGGGCCACATAGAAAAACCCTATTTGAAAAAAACAAAAAAAGAAAAAGAAAAGAAAAAATGATGCAGAAGTAAGGAGAATCAAGTTCAGCACTTGCAGAAGTTTCACAGAGAATTTCAGAATAAGACTCTTTTTCATACAGACAAACATATAAAATTGAAAAGTAAGGAAAGAATGAAAATAGCTTGTACCGTTCTACCGGGACTATATTTGGGAAATGCATCTTAAGCCTTTCCCCCATCATCTGTTTACACCTGAAACCGTTACACACCTTTTAAATGCTTAAGTTCAGTTTTTAGTAGTGTGTGTGTGTGTGTGTGTGTGTGTTTGTGGTGTGGTTGGACTGTGCCATAGTGCACTTGAAAGGTCAGGAAAGAGCTCTTTAGAAGCTCTGTCCACTGGATCATGGGGTTAAGCTCATTAGGCTGCAAAACAAGCACTTTCCCCATGAAGCTGTCTCCTGCCCCATTGCACACTTCTGTTTGCGTGTCACGTGCAACTTACAGACTCAGTGACAGGAACGTCTTCATTCTTAGCCTTCTGAGTGCTGGAGTTACGGGCCTGTGACCACCATATCCAGCTTTTCCTCATCTTCTTTCATATTAAGGAAAATTTCAAACAAGGAAACTTAAGTATGTCTGCTTAAAAATAAAACAAAAAGCCCTACCATATTGTGGTAGTTTAAATGAGACTGTCCCCCATAGACTCTGACATTTGAAGAGTTGGTTCCTTCCCAGTTGATGGTGCTTTTAGGAGGTTTAAGAGGTATGGCCTTGGGCTGGAGAGATGGCTCAGTGGTTAAGAGCACTGACTGCACTTCCAGAGGTTCTGAGTTCATATCCCAGCAACCACATGGTGGCTCACAACCATCTGTAATGAGATCTGATGCCCTCTTCTGGTGTGTCTGAAGACAGCTACAGTGTACTCATATATAATAAATAAATAAATCTTAAAAAAAAAAAAAAAGAGGTATGGCCTTGTTTAAGGAAGTCTATCACTTGGGGTAGGCTTTGATAGAGACTTGAGCCACTCCAGCTCTTTTTCTGCTTTGTGCTTATAGTTTAAGATGTGAACTCTCGGAGTTGGAGAGATGGCTCAGTGGTTAAGAGCATTGGCTGCTCTTCCAGATGAACCTGGGTTCAATTCCCAGCACCCACATGGTAGCTTACAGCTGTCTGTAATTCCAGTTGTTCCAAGGGACCCAACACCTTCACACAGACACACATGTGAGGGTGTCAGATCCTTGGAACTGGAATTACATCAAGCTGTAAGCTGACATGGTTACTAGGAATTGAACCCAGGTCCTCTGGAAAAGGAGCCAGCATTCTTAACAAGTATCATCTCACAAGGTCAGTTTCTGAACCCACATAGTGGAGAAGACAACTCTTACAAGTGCCCTCATATGTGTAACATACATTCCCACCACTGTCACCCGCACAATAAAGAAGTAAGTAAGACCAGGCATGGTGGCACACATCTTCATTTCCAGCACTGAGGAAGCAAAGGCAGAAGGATTGAGTTCAAGGCCAGCCCTATGTACATAACAAGTTCAGGCTTGCCAAGCCACATAATGACACTCTGTCTAAAAAGTGAATAAATAGATGTAAAAACAAAACAAAAGATTTTATTTACAAGGAAACAATTCTAAAATTAAATATACTTGTTTCTAATAATAAATTGAATAAAATTTCTTCAAAGAATAATTCTTAGGGCTAGAGAGATGGCTTAGTGGTTAAGAGTGCTGGCTACTTTTCCAGAGGACCTGGGTTCAATTCCCAGTAACCACATCAGCTTACAGCTTGATGTAATTCCAGTTCTAAGGATCTGACATCCTCACACAAGACAAACATGCAGGCAAAACACCAATGCATGTGAAATAAAAATAAATTAATTAATTAAAAAAACAGTCTTTAATCTATTTAGTCATTTGATTACCATAGGGCATTTAGGTTCTGGGATATCTTATGTAACTCATTTTTTTTAAGTGTTACTTATTTTTACATTGTGTGTGTGTTTGTGTGTGTTTTGCCTGCTTGTATATATGTTCACCACATGTATGCAGTGCCTGTAGAGACTAGAAGGGCATCAGAAGTCCTGGAAGTAGAATTATTAGTAGTTGTGAGCTGGAAACTGAACCTGGGTCCTCTGGAAGAGCAGCCAGTGCCCTTAACTGCTGAGACATTTCTCCATCCCTGTATTAGTTTGTATAATTATAAGTAATATACTTGACAACTTCGTGCCTGTGACTTTTTTTCAAGTTGAGTGATTTCCTTGGGAAGCTGGAATACAGACCAAAAAGTCACATGATATTTTATCAAATCTTGACCTTTGTATTCTATTAAGGAGTTCTTTTTTCAGACTAAAAGCCTCAAGGGCTTATGGGGAATATATTACTTGGCTGTTTATTCTTTCATTGTCTCTGACCACACATGCAGTTCTTTAGGCATTTAAATTTTGTTTCTCTTGTTTTGTTTCTAAAACAGGTCCTACTAATGTAGGCCAAGGTTTTTTTCTTTAGTTCTGGGATTACCAGTGTGTATACACAATTAGGATTCCTTCCTTCCTCAGATAGGATTTCACTATGTAGAATACTAGCTACAAACTTGAAATTCTTCCTGGTACATCCTGCTGGGAGTTATAGTTACAAGAAAACATGATTCCGTGTTACTATTTTTAAAAGCTAAAGTGAAACTAGGGAGATAGTTCAGTGAACAAAGTGCCCTCCATGCAAATGTGGTCACCTGTGTTTGGATTCCCAGAGCCACATAAAGGCTGTAATCCCATGTGTCTGTATTCCCTAGCCTGGAATTTTAAACAGTGAATAAGAGGCCCTGTGTCAAACAAGTTCAAGGGCAAGTGAAAGACAAGTACCCACTATCTAGATTGTCCTCTGACCTCCACAAGCATGCTGTGACAGGTGTATTCTCCACATCATACACATACTTGCATCTCACACACACACACACACACTCTCTCTCTCTCTCTCTCTCTCTCTCTCTCTCTCTCTCTCTCTCTCAGAACAAATAATAGAAAACATTATAAAGTAGTAGTTGAAGTTTAGGGCTTAGCTTTAATCTTATTTGGAGCATTAAGCAGGATTCTGGATATGAGCAATGTAATAGCCTGGGTGGGTGATTTAAAATGACATGAAAAAGGATCGGCAGTATATCTTGGAGGTAGCACACTTGTCTGACACACACAAGGCTCTAGGTTTAGTTCACAGCACTGCTTAAAACAATAAGCAAACTATAATAAAGCACAGCAGTAAGCAGTGCAGTGAGAAGCTTCTCTGTTATCTGTTGTTGTCAGGAAAGCAGGGTGGTCGCTTGCACTGGGTCATTTCTTGAAGTCATCATAATACTCACAATAGTGTAGTCACCATCTGTTGAACAAATTGTATATCTGCTAAGATGTTTATTTTTGTCATCTCAGTTTTTCTCAATAATCCTGCAAGGAAAGTTTGGCTCTTCATTTTCCTGTTAGGGAAACTGAAGCTAAGAGTAACTAAGTATAAAGCTATTAGAGAGTGTTTCTGATTTTTTTTTCTATTATATAATGATATATTTCTTTCCTCTACCTTGACCCCCAGGATTCCTAGAGTTGCCTCCTGTGGGCACAAGCTCTCTGCTTAGACATGTAGTTATGAATTAAGTGTAAGAAAATGTTTGAGGGGACTGTTACTTCTCACTTTGTCTGTAATCACAATGTAGTCTTCCATGGATGCCCCGTAGGTTACAGCCAGCCTGTGTTCAGTACCTGGATTGTATGATTATACAATCATATATAGTCAGTATGATTATAGCAAATAGAGAAGAGAAAGAGCACCTTATAGACTGCTTACATAGCTTAAATTGTCATCAGTTACTGACACCTTTACTTCCTAAAGTTTCAAGGCTGAACATTAAGGGCATCTTATTTTAGCCCTTCAACCCATTCATCTTTTCCTCCCCGATTACCTTTTTTTCAGACTCTGAATTCTTATGCAAATGGAGCCTATGGTCCACCTTACCCTCCTGGTCCTGGAGCAAGTACTGCCTCTTACTCGGGGGCTTACTACGTACCTGGCTATACTCAAAGCAGTTACTCCACAGAAGTCCCAAGCACCTACCGTTCACCTGGTAACAGCCCAACTCCAGTGTCTCGATGGATGTATTCCCAGCAGGACTGTCCAACAGAAGCACCCCCTCTGAGGGCTCAGGTTCCAGCATATTCTGCTTCACAGGTAAGCAGTTTCCCATGAGGGAAAAAAATGCCTCTATTTCCTGAATTTTAAACAGTGGAAAGTTACCATTTACACTAGTGCTGTTTAAGGAAACACCTAGAGCCATGCACACTGTGTACACCTTTAACCCCAGTTCTCATGGGATAGTCAGAGGTTGTTTGAGAAGTGAAGGAAGGGGTTTCTTTTATATTGATGCCTAAACGGACTTGGCTGAAGAGACCTTAAAAATGTCATAATTAGAATTCTTTTAAATCCTCACATATTTATTTGTGTGCATGATGAGAGTTGTGAGGGATGACACACGTGTACCACAGTCCACGTGTGGAAGTCAGTGGACAACTTTGTGGAGTGTCTTTTTTCATTTTCTATGAATTCCAGGGATCAAGCTCAGGTCACAGCAAGTGCCTTTACCCACTGAGCCATCTCTCCAGCCCATAATTTATCATTTTTTTCCCTTCCTTCCTTCTTTCCTTCTTTCCTTCTTTCCTTCCTTCCTTCCTTCCTTCCTTCCTTCCTTCCTTCCTTCCTTCCTTCCTTCCTTCCTTTCTTTCTTTCTTCTTCGAGACTAGGTCTCAGTATGTAGCCCTGGGTACCTGGAACTCCCTATACAGACCTTGCTGGCCTCAACCTCACAGGAAATTGCCTACCCCTCCCTCCTGTGTGCTGGAACTAAAGATATATGCCACCACACCTGGCTCCTCTTTTGTTCTCTCCTGTTTTCATTATTTTTAATTCCATGCATACTCTCGTGGCTGTGTGCTCATGTACATGAATGCAGGTACTCACAGGCCACAAGTGTGAGCACTCCTGGAACTGGAGTGACAGGTTTGCGAGCCACCTGATACGGTATCTTAGGACTCGAACTTGGATCCTCTAGAAGAGCTCTTAACCACTGACACATTTCTTCAGCCCCCATAAAATCTTTGTAATAAATCTTTAGTTGTTGCTTGAAACTTTCCCTAACTTAATCTCTCCTAATGCAATTACGTGTATATTAATGTGCTGTGAGTATGCCAAGCTTATTTCTGTTTATTTCGAGACCACTTCTCTGTCTTCATATTTACAGCGTATAGATTCATTTATCTGTAGTGTTTTGGAAACTACATGCTTCATCCAGTGAATTTGAGACTCATGAGTCTTTTACCAGCTCTTTTCTTTGTGTTTCGAAGCCAGGCTTTCTCAGGTGTGGAGAATTTTTGGTAACTGATTAATGAGTTACTAGCAGGTCAGGACCTGTCTGTGCTATTTTTATTACTTTTAAGCTTTGTTTTTTTAAAGCAGTGACCAACCAGCACACCAGCATATTTGCTTTTCCCAATCTAGAACCCTGGAATGACCTTGCCCCATTATCCGTATGGAGATGGCAACCGAACTGTGCCAGCATCAGGAGCGAGTGGACGAGCACAAGATGATGCATGGGCTTCTGGTGCTTACGGGGTGGGAGCCCGTTACCCCTGGCCTTCAGCTGCCCCCCCAGCCCCCTCTGGGAACCTGTACATGACGGAAAGTGCTTCACCGTGGTCCAGCAACAGTTCTCCTCAGCCGCCTCCTTCACCCCCACCCCAGCAGCCTAAGGTAGGAGGCCTTTGGAATGCAGTTCTTTTGATCTCTAGGCAATTAAGAGGGTACACGATGACACTTCTGTATTAGTCTGTTAGATGCAAAAAAGTTGGTGGTTACTACCCTACAGCATTATGTTAGCTGAGTTTGTTTTCTCTTATAAACAATGTTGTTTGGAGATTTTCTTTTTAGGTTCTTATCTTTTTTTGTACCTTTTGTGTGTGTGTGTGTGTGTGTGTGTGTGTGTGTGTGTGTGTGTTTTAATGTGTATGGATATACTGACTACCTGTATGTCTATGGGCTACATGTGTGCCTGGTGCCCTTGGAAGCCAGATCCCCTGGACCTGGAATTACAGACATTTATGTAACTTGTAGCCTTGTAACTACTGAGAATCAAATTTGGGTCCTTGGGAAGTGCAGCCAGTGCTCTTACCTGCTGACCATCTCTCCAGCACCAGATCTTTTTTAAAAAAGACAGGAAAATGCTTCTTTTCTGCTGTGATACTATGTGAATATTAAATAGAACCAAGGGATGTATTTTACAGCCTCGTGGTATGCAGCAGGAGGGACAGCAATGTGAAGTAGCATATGCCGGTTGTGTGTGGACTTTACATACGCCACAGACAACACTTTCTGCTTTTGCCTATGCTCTGCAGGCTTTTACTATTTGAGGGAAACTAATGGTTAAATCACTGGATACATTGTGAGGTGGTAAGATTGGTTGGGAAGTGTTCACAGAATGACTTGCATTGAGGTAGATCTAGCCATCATATTTACAAATTCTGTGCCTCTCGCTTGAAAAGGCTCGCCCTTTATCTTCTAACAGTGTTGGTCTCTGATGGGTATGTAGGGGCCAGTTTTGTGGAGATCTTTTCAAGTCCTTTCCTGGTTGGTAAAGGATGTGTACTAATATATCTGATGTTGATAGCTTCCCATTAAAACAGCTTTTGTCTCCTTTCTGTCTTTCCATTCCAAGGATTCCTCGTACTCCTATAACCAGTCGGGTCCAGGCATGAACCGGCACAGCTTTCCCTGCAGTGTCCATCGGTATGAACCTCCGGGAGCAGTGAACAGTGATAATTCAGACCTTCTGGATTCTCAAGTCCAGTATAGTGCTGAGCCTCAGTTGTATGGTAATGCCAACAGTGAACACCCCAGCCACCAAGCTCCGAGTGCTAATCTCGCAGAAGAGTGTTTCTCTTCAGATGAAAGTACTCCTCCAAGTATTAAAAAAATAATACACGTGCTGGAGAAGGTCCAGTTTCTTGAGCAAGAAGTAGAAGAGTTTGTAGGAAAAAAGACAGACAAAGCATATTGGCTTCTGGAAGAAATGCTGACAAAGGAACTTTTAGAACTGGATTCTGTTGAAACTGGGGGCCAAGACTCTGTCCGTCAGGCCAGGAAAGAAGCTGTTTGTAAGATCCAGGCCATACTGGAAAAATTAGAAAAAAAAGGATTATGAAATAATTTGGAATGCAGGGAAAGCCTGTTACCGATTTGGCCAAAGAACTCTTTGATTTGGTTAGTTCTCATCTTTTGAAATGCCTGTGTGACAAGAAGCAACACATTCCAACTTTCTTCTGACCTAAAACTTGAAAGGAAAAAAAACTGGAAAAGCCGGCAGAGGAATGAAAGAGCTGCAGTGACAAGATTCTTTTCAGTTTTCAGATGACTGAACATAATAGAAAACTGGAGTTATCAGTATTGCCAAGTAGACCTACTTCTTAAGACACCCATGGGTGTCTGACTGTAGGCTGCTGCTTACCAGATCTCAGGAGGGAGATGGACTTTATGTAACAGGTTGTCAAAAGCCTAATCTGAGACAAACAGGCTGTTTTGTAAGCATCTGGACTGTCACATTTTTTGTGCATTGTGACTGCATATACTTCATGTGTATATTATAGCTTAGACTCTTGGACCTCTGTTCTGTTTTCTTACGTGCAGGTCACAAATGTAATACTATTCTACTTCTTCGTACATTTTGTAGTAATATGTTTAATATAATCAAATATTGGCAGCCAGATAGGATGAGCAGTTCTGAACGAATTCATATCCTTTTACCACTTGACAATTTCGGTGTGTAGTGATCTCCTGAAGTCATTGTCTCCCTTTCTGTGTCGCATGTTCCGTTCCATTCTTCCCACTTCTGCTTTTCATGATGGGGAAGGCAACTCTGAAAATTACATTAACATAAGAATGACAATGTTTGTGGACATTCGTTGCTTTGTTGTATTTGGATAAAGATCCACTTTGAAATTGCTTTTTTAAGAAAAATATCTTTTGGCTATTGCTGCTTCTATAGAGAGCCTTATGATAAAAACATGGAAACTGAAATGCTGCAGTTAGTATAAATAGTGACTGCAAAAAAGTAGCAAATAGAATTATTTAATGACACTATTCTCCATGCAGTAGATCTGTGGGACAGATGTGAGCTCAGTTATAGCTGATAGGAGGAAAAGAAGGAAATTCATGCTCAGGGAGTGAGTCAGCCATAGCTGAAGTGGAAAATTCATTATTTTCTTTTCATTTAAATTTAGTCTCTGTTTCATAGGATAAACTATATAGAATTGCCTATTTCTTAAGAAAGGTGTTATTTATAATAACAGCCAATTTAGAGCCAAATTTAAGAAAGGGGCCTTTCTTGATTATCCGTGTATGTTGTTATACAGAGACAGGTAAATAATTTACCTTTTAAGCCTAAAGTGAGATCTAGCATACAATATCCGCTTTTGCAACAAAGGCCATTTCTTAGCAAAATATCACGGTGATATGTTTTCCTAGACTAGCAGGCCTTTATATTAGTGATACTAAGCCTATAGCCATCCCTTCTTTTCACAAGAATCTAATGAATGCCAACATATGATGAGAAGAAATGCAGTAAAAATATTGTCTAGGGGCTGGAGATATGGCTCAGTTAGCAGAGTGTCTGCCTAACATACATGAAGCCCTGGGCTAAGCCCAGTATTGCATAAACCAGCTATAGTAGTACATAACTGTCTTCAGCATTTGAAAGATGGACACTGCAAGTTTCAAGTTATCCTCAGCTACCTAATTAATTCAAGGTCAGCCTGAGCCAAATAAGAGCCTGTCCCAAAAAGCAACCAGGATAAGTGATTCAAGAAGTGATCTTTTTCCAGTCTGTAGTTTTAAAAAGATTTTATTTGGAATTGGTGGTGTACACTTTTAATTCAGGCAGAGGAGGCAGGTAGACCTCTTGAGTTCAAGGCCAACCTGGTCTACAGAGCTCCTGATCAGCCAAGGCTACATAACGAGATACGATCAAATCCATCTAGTCTAATCTAATGTCTATCTGCCTATTCAATCGTCTGTCTATGGGGTGTGTGTATGCTTGCGCACATGTGCGTGTTTTATATTTATAATTTTTATTTTTGAGACATGCCAGGTTGGCCTTAAACTTTGCATGTAGCCTAGGACAACCTAGAAGTTCTGGTCCTCCTGCCTCACTTTCTGTTTCACAGGTAGGTGTGTGCCTGGTTTATGTGGTGTCAGGCAAGCAGTGTACTGAGGCATAGATGTAGCCCTGATTCTCATATCTCATATCTAGTGCCAGGCTAGCCAGGAGTGAGATCTAACTACTGCTCCAAACGTTTTCTATGATGTGACAATTAAAACCTTAACACCTCGCTGTGTTGGCAGTGAGACAGTGATAGATTCAGAAGAAAACATGTCTGCTTAACTTATGCTGCCCAAGATGCCAGTGCACATTCTTCATTTGTGTACATGTACATGTTATGCACAAATGTACATATATGTGTATATACCTTAAGTTATTTTTTTGAACTACTAACATGATTTTAAACTGACAGAAGAGTTGTAAAAATAGCGTTCCTGTGTATCCTCCATTCACCTTCCCCTTGTTTTGACGTCTTCTCTAATGAAAACATTTGTCAAAATTAAGAGTTAATAGTGCTATCGATATTAGCTGAAGTTGCAAGCTAAAAGTAGATACTTTATCTTTTTAGTAGCATCCTCTTAAACCGTTCCAGATCCTATTTTGCATTCGGTTGTCTGTCTCAGTAGTCTTCCACTCCGGTGACGTTCTATCATAAGGATAGCTGGTGTTGTCATGTGTTCCTGGAGGGGTTCACACTGAGCGCTGTGCTAAAGTGGTGTCTGCTAGGATCCTCTGCTGTAAGCTTTTACCCTGCTTTCCTTTGTAATTACTAAGTATTTGCTAGAGACACTTTGAGACTATGCAAATGTCCTGTTTCTGCTTAGAGTTTGCCTCTTACTATCTACTGGCAGATCTTGCTTGTGGCATTTATTACTGTGGTGTTTAAATGGTGATTTTTCTATTCTTGTTTCTTCTATATTTAATAATTGGAATTCTTCTGGAAGGAACTGTGGTTTCTGGATTTATATTTTTAATTACAACAAGATATTCAGGATAGGTATATACTCAGAATTTAAAGATGTAAATTATGTTAATTGATTCCAGTGGCCAGAAAAAAAAAAGGGGGCAACATTTGTGACCTGTCTTTGAAAATGTAATGAATTTAAGAAAGAAATTAGTATTTATGATTTGTAAAATCTGTTTGACTTTTGACTTGAACTTGATTTGAAACTGAAACAGTTTTCTTTTGAAATTCACATCTAGACTTTTTTAAGGTGTCTAAATTTATATTACTTTGGGGGTCATTTTTGTCAAAATCTTGAATAAAGTTACCTACACCTGGCATGATAAACAGCTGTTTTCTCTCTAGCCCCTTTGTTTAGGTAACATACCAAGGTTAACACTAAACAGAGCAGCCCTAATGAAGCTTCTGGGGCCTGGTGGGTTCTGTCTTCTCTACCTACTGCTGTATGCTTCTTTTAAATGCTTTTAAAGAAAGAGGTGTGTAAAAACAAAAATAATCTATGACAAAAGGAATAGTGCTTTAGTTAGTTGGCATAAATAATAACCTTTAACTACTTTGCTTGTTTTTTTTTTGTTTGTTTGTTCGGTTTTGGTTGTTGGTTGGTTTTTTTTTACATTGAAAGGTATAGACTAAATTTTCTTTTAAGAAAAGTCTTGAGAGGGTAGATAGTTGATGCAGCTTCCTTTTCTTTTTCATTTGTCTTAGGGTTTTACTGTGAAACAGACACTATGACCAAGGCATCTCTTACAAAGACAACATTTAATTGGGGCTGGCTTATAGGTTCAGAGATTCAGTCTATTATCATCATGGTGGGAACATGGCAGCATCCAGGCATGGTGCAGGAAGAGCTGAGAGTTCTACATCTTCGTCTGAAGGCTGCTAGGAGAATACTGGCTTCCAGGCAACTAGGATGAATGTCTTAAGCCCATACCTACAGTGACACACCTACTCCAAGGCCACACCTCCTAGTAGTGCCATTCCCTGGGCCGAGCATATACAGACCATCACATCATCTTTGATTTTTTTTAATCTCCTTTTATAAAGTTGTGAGTTTAGAGCAGGTGAAATGTCTCGGTGGATAAAGGTTCTTACTCCCTGTATTAGGGTTCTCTAAAGTCACAGAACTGAGGAGTAGTCTATAGAGTAAGGGAATTTGTTAATGACTTACAGTCTGTTGTCCAACTCCCCAACAATAGTCAGCAGCAGCTGTGAATGAAGTCCAAGGATCTAGCAGTTGCTCAGTCCCACAAGGCAAGCAGACGAAGAAGAGTCTTCTTCCAATGTCCTTATGTAGGCCTCCAGCAGAAGGTGTGGCTCAGATTAAAGATGTGTACTACCATGCTTGGATCTGGGACTTGCTTTGTCCCAGATGACCTTGAACTCGGAGATCTCCTTGCCTTAGTCTCCTAGGATTCATAGCCACTATGCCTCAAGATCTCCATGCCAAGATCCAGGTCAGAAACTTGTATCTCCTAGCCTCAAGATCAGGTGAGCCTTCCAATTCTGGATTGTAGTTCCAAGATATAGTCAAGATGACAACCAGGAAGAGCCACCACACCCCGAGACCTAGGACCTGAGTTGAATCCCCAGGACCCACAGGAGAAAAGGAGAGATCTGACTCTGGTTTTCCTCTGACTTCCATGTGCATGCCCCCCCCCATATAAGTATACAAAAAAAATTATGTTCTGAGTTTAATGAATCAAATTATGAAAAACAGCATTCTCCCAGTCCTGTGTCTTTTTTTTCCCCCCTTCGAAGACAACCACTTAAAATGTTTTGTTAGATTTATAGCTGGGCAGTGCTTGCACCTTTAATTCCAGCATCTGGGAGGCAGAGACAGGCAGACCTCTGTGTTCGAGGCTAGCTTGGTCTATCAGATGAGTTCTAGGACAGCCAGGGCTGCACAGAAAATTTCTTGTTTTGAAAAACAAAAATGTGTTAGGTTTACTATTTTATGTGTTTTGCTTGCATGTATGTGTGTTCCATGTATATGCCTGTTGCCCTTGGAGACCAGAAGAGGTCATCAGGTCCTCTGGAAATAGTCACAGGTAAGAGCTGCCAAGTGAGTGCTGGGAATTGAACCCAGCACCCTCACCCCCACCCCAACCCACCACCCCCTGCACGAGCAGTAAGTGCTCTTAACTGTTAGCTAACTCTGCAGCCCTGGTGACCACTTTCTAATATAAAATATACTTTGGAAATGTATAACTGACCTTTAAAATAACATAATTGTATTTTTTTTTCTCTTAGTCTTAGAGTTCTGCTGTGTTGTGAGAGAGTCACATGTGCAGATTGGCTTTGAGCTTGCTCTGTAGCCCAAGGTAGTTTTGGAATGTGCTCTTCCTGCCTCAGCCTGCTGGAATTACAGGGATTTACTGCACCTTCCTGTATTTCCTACCGGATGATAAGTGTTTCTTTTTTCTGCCACTTCCACAATCCAGCTCAGTCCGTCCGTCCCTCCTTCTGAATATAGCTACAGTCATATCTTTGTCATTACTGGTTAGGGCTCAGTCCTGTAGTGAGTGGAGATTTCCTGAACAACTTGTTTTCCCTGTAATTAATCTTTTGTCTTACTTGGATGCCTTAATGATCTATTTGATCTCTAAGTATTTTCTCAAGATCTGTACATTATTTCATTTTGTTTCAGATTCCTGGAGAAGTCTCCTAAAGCCTTTCTTCCATGGATGAAGATTTTCCTTTGCCTCTTGTTTTGCTGTATTGCTTGTTGTGATAGTTTGTATATGCTCGGCCCAGGGAGTGGCACTATTAGGAGATGTGGCCCTGTTGGAGTGGGTGTGTCACTTAGGTGTGGGCTTTAAGACCCTCATCCTAGCTGCCTGGAAGCCAGTATTCTGCTAGCAGCCTTCTGATGAAGATGTAGAACTCTCAGCTCCTCCTGCACCATGCCTGCCTGGATGCTGCTATGCTCCCACCATGATGATAATGGACTGAACCTCTGAACCTGTAAGCCAGCCTCAATTAAATGTTGTCCTTTATAAGACTTGCCTTGTTCATGGTGTCTGTTCACAACAGTAAAACCCTAACTAAGACACATATGTGTTTTTGATGGTGGTGGTGGTAGTTTTTTGTTTGTATTTTTTTTAACTTATTACTTTTTTTTTTTTTGGTTTTTCGAGACAGGATTTCTCTGTATAGCTCTGGCTGTCCTGGAACTCACTCTGTAGACCAGGCTGGCCTTGAACTCAGAAATCCACCTGCCTCTGCCTCCCAAGTGCTGGGATCAAAGGCGTGCGCCACCACCGCCCGGCTTAACTTATTTCAAGAGATGTATTTTTAGTAGCTTCATGGGAAGTGTTTGATTTTAGATGTTGTGTAACTTGAAGTGTCAGTTTTATCACACACTGGACAGATAGTTTATTAGGTGAGTATAAATATTAGGAAATGGTTATTGTAAGAGTTGTAGATTGCTCTGTTGTCTCAGGAGTTTCCAGAGTTTAGTTTCTAGAATTGCTTCTGAGAAGTATGTACCCCTGTGATCATCTGTATAAGACCCATTAGAGGGAGAGGGCAGCTTCATATGCAGCCTATGCTGACTTCATACTCTGTACGGGGCCAGTGATAGCCTGGAACTTGTGACTTCCTCGTGTCTAGCTCTCAAGTCCTGGGGTTGCAGGTTTATGTGGCTATCCCTGGGTTTATTTTTTTGATGTGTTTTGTTTTTGAGTTTTGTTTGTATTGCTTTGTTTTGAGACAGGATTTCTCTATGTAGATCAGGCTGGCCTTGAACTGAGAGAGATCCACCTGCTTCTGCCTACTGAGTGCTAGGATTAAAGACGTGCACCACCGCTGCTGAGTTAGCTTGTAAGATTTTTAAAATTCTGTCATGGAATTTAGCAGTTTAGCTTTGGTGTGGGTCTAGCTGTATTCATTTTGTGGGGCACACCCATCTTAGAAATCAAGCATTTATATGATATTTTCTTGATTTTTTTTATTTGGCTTGTTACTTTCCCTGTTACCTAGGTCTACTTTTAACAGAATTACTACTCTACCTTACCCCGGGTTTTTTTTGTTTTTTGTTTTTTTTTCCAGACGGGGTTTCTCTGTGTAGCCCTGGCTGTCCTGGAACTCACTCTGTAGACCAGGCTGGCCTCGAACTCAGAAATCTGCCTGCCTCTGCCTCCCAAGTGCTGGGATTAAAGGCGTGTGCCACCACTCCTGGCTCCAGCCACCCTCTTTTTGCTTTCCTTAAGTATCTACGAAAGAACAGCTTACAACCACATAGTGGTCTTCTACCCCTTCAGTGACCTGAGTGTAGAACTACAGACCAGTCCATGGTCGTGGGCTAGATAATCCAGTCTGGAGAAGCCTCTGCTCTCCTTGGAATCATGCTAATCCTTCCTGAACTCAGAAGGTGGTCCACTTACCCTGAATGTTCTCCTTGGTCACAGCCTTCTCAGCAGCAGGATGCTCATGTTGCTATTTCCAGGATGTCTGTAGACCATTCCCAGGGTGTTTCTGGGAGAGCCAGTACCCACTGCGTTAGACCCACTGCATGAGCTTGTTTGCATAGGATGGCAAACTCCATATGTCACAGAGAGGAATCTGTTATACAGAGGGCAATGGTAGACGTCTTCTGTCATGGGCTAGTGGTCAGCTGTGCGATCAGTCACTAACCGGAAGCCATGGCTCCCAGAGTGCTGTCTGGATCTGACTACTGAAAGTGCAGGGAACAAAGCACCCAGTAATTGGAGCGGCAAACTTGAGCACAGCCTGCTGGCCAGTGTCCCTGTTAGATAATGCTGTCATCAGCAGGGTTTTCAGTAGCAACAACAACACAAGCTGTCACCAGCAGCTTTCCCAGGCCTGTGGAGATGCATCGTCATAAAAAGATTTCTTCATTTCTAAGAGACTAGAACTTTTGCTGAACCTCATAGCCAGAGTTATTACACCTTGGGTTCACTTAAGATTGCTGTCCTACTGTGTGCTCAGCCTATTTGTTTAATATGAACCAACCTGTTTGCCTTGGGTTTCCCATAGAATTAGCTTTTACAACCTAAGCAGATACACAGCTGTAATTTTACGTTATCTTCTCTTCCATGCCCTGGCCCACAGTCATGTGTGCGTGTTTGTATGTCTTATGGTCATCATGTGCTGGAGACAGAAAACAGGCTAGAAGTAGCACTGAGATATTGATTGCCTGTTATCTGGGTTAGTGGAGGTCAACTGGGAGTCAGTGACTTCATCCCTTGTAACTCTGTCTAAGGTATCCCTCCTTCCTCCCCTGTGTGATGCTTTGCTTTCGTGTTGTTCAATGACAGAGGACAAACACTGTTGTTACACACGGGACAAGAGAAGACAGAATCACAAGACAATATTCAGGCAGACGAAGCACAAATTCAGATTGATACACAGGAACAGGGAGAAGACAGAAACAGCAGAGTAGAGAACGCAAATTTGGGCTTGCTCTGAGTTAGATGACACCTGAAGTGCTCTGATTTCTGTCTTTAATGTGACACCAATACATCATTGGTGACTCTGAGTTTATTATCAGTGTGTTGAAACTGACCGCACAGGTCCTCTTCAAATCTGTAATGTAGATACCATCATCTGTCCCTTTTTAGATGTACTGTTCCTTCTGGAAACCAAAGTTGGTACCACTTAAGTGGGTTCCAGTTGCAAGGACTTTGAGGATGTCCTCCTCCTTTTGCAGAATTGTGCAGAGGTTTTCACTTAAATCATAACATGACTCAAGGCTGCTGTGTGAACCTCTCCCTGGGCAGTACAAAAAGTCTATAATGTTTTTGTCTAAAGACAAATCTTGCTAGACTGCTTAATCTTCTGCTTCAGGCTCCTATAGAATACCTGGGATTACAGGTCTACACCGTCATACTGCCTGACCGGTTGTGGGGTTTCCAGTATAATTTTATTACAATGAAAACCCCAAATTGCTTCTAGAAAACTCTTGTGCCTAGAGAGATGGTTCGGCGGGTCAGGTTTACACGCAAGTATGTGGCCTATGTTCTGACCTCCAGTGCCTTTGTAATCTGGCAGTGTGTACCGAGGAGGCAGAGACAGGAGGATGCCTGAGACTCACTACCTAGCTAGTCCTACCAAGTCAGTAAGTTCCAGATTTAGTCAGAGAGGCAGAGCAAAGCAGATCTATGAGTTCAAGGCTAGCCTGGTCTACAAAGTGGTTCCAGGACAGTCAAAGCTACATAGACACTTCCACAATGTTGGTCCTAGGGATCAAATTCAAGACATCAGGCTTTACCCCCTGAGCCATCCCACCTGCCACCGATCACCCTAGAAGGGTATGGGAGTCTCTGGGATGAGGGTCCTTCAGGGCTAGGTGGGTAAGGATTCAACGGTGACAAACAGAAACAAACACAGAGGCAGTTTGAATCTGAGTGTATTTTGTAGCTCTCAAACAAGGATTTTTATACATAGAAAAAACAAATACTACAACTCTTAGAAGATGTATTCAGTAAATCACAAACAGAACAGGTAACATCATTATTATTTGGCACAATAGAAATCATTCAAGTGTTACAGCTCTGAAAGGACATATTCAGTGGGGCGGTCATCCAAGGCTGGTGGCAGATCTCCAAGAGCAGGTTAACTAATCTTTATGATCAGCTATTACTTAACATCTAATACCTGATATTATTTTATAAATCTTCAACGCATAAATTTAAACTATTTTAATTCTTTTTATTTAAGGCTTTCTTTACCATATACCAAAGCCCACCTCTGATGACACATGTATAGCCATATGAATTTTTTTTTTTTTTTTGATTTTTCGAGACAGGGTTTCTCTGTGTAGTGCTGGCTGGAATTTTTTTTATTATTGTTGGGAAAGCTTTTATCTATCTTAATACTATTATGTAATTTTGTAAGTGATTTATAAAGTAAAGGCATCAGTTTCCCCAGAGGCAAGGTCATGTTAGTGACCCCATCTCAAGGGATGGTTTCTTACCCATTTTTATTGCTTAAGATCTTGGCCTAGGCTATCAGGAACATGTCATAAATAAGAAAAGGAATAAAAGAAAATAAAACAGATAAGTTGCCATGAGAACTACGGCTCAATGTTTTGTTCCAGGCAAGAGTTCCACAACCTGTTCTAGGAGGCCTCCTTCTTTTGACGTTTTTGCCTCAGCCTGTGGAATTTGTTACACAGATTCTACTGGGGTTGGTGTGGCACCCACCCACTCCCACACATATTTTAGTTTTTGCAGTAACTGTAGACTCACATGCAAGGTTTTTTTAAATTGTGCTTTTTAAAATTATTTTTATTTTATATGCATTTTCATTTTGCCTGCATGTATGTCTGTGTGATGGTGACAGGTCTTGGAATTACAGCCGGTTGTGAGCTGCCATGTGGGGAATTGAACTCAGGTCCTCTGGAAGAGTAGTTAGTGCTCTTAACCGCTGAGGCATCTCTCCAACCCCTAATTTTATTTTTGAGATTGTAATTTTATTACAATATTTCTCTTTCCCCCCTTCCTCCAAAACCCCCATATTCACTTCCCTTTTCTCTTTCAAACTCACAGCCTCTCTTTTTCAGCAGTTGTTATTGCACACACACACACACACACACACACACACACACACACAATTCCTCACTATAACCTATTGAGTCCATATACTGTTACTTGTATGAATGCTTTTAGGGCTGACTCTTTGACACTGGACAAACAGTTGGTGTGTTCTTCTTTGGGGAGGACCACCTCTCCCACTCCCTCCTTTCCTCAGTTACCTATGGTTATTTTGTGGGCTGAGGCCTTGTGGGTTTTTTCTGAACAGTCTGCCACCATATGCAGTTTTAATAAAGGATACAGGTAGCTCAGTGGTTAATTCCAAGTTATCGCTTGTGTGTAGGATCTTCGTTCAATTCCCAGAACCTGAGTCGGGCTGGTCACAACCCTGTAACTCCAGTCCTAGAGTATCCAGGTACCCTGAGGACACCTACTCTCATATGTGTATCTCAAACATATGTAGGTAACTAAAATATAAACTGCATGATACAGGGGCCAGAGAGATGGCTCTGTGGCTAAGAGTGCATACTGTCCTTGCAGAGCACTGGAGTCTGGTTCTCAGAACTCACATGAGGTAGCTCACAACCTCCTGTGACTCTAGGTCCATAGGACTCAACACTAAGAACACGATACTTGTCCACACCCCTCCCACCCCCACATGGAGTTATTTAAAAATAAAGCCTTTTCAATGACATAGAGATTTCATGGACCCTTTACTCGGTTTCCCTTGGTGGCAACAGGTAGCAGACTCTGATGCACCTGGCTTGGAAGTCATTGTAGACCAGGTTAGCCTCAAACTTTCAATGATCCTCCGGCTTCCTGAGGGCTAGGATTGAAGCCAAGCAGCAGCCACTGTGACCTCATTTTGCCCGTTTTCTAACTGGATTTATTAATAAACCCTAAGAATACTTCCCATTTTTAGAAAATCTGTGGTAATATAGAGTTCAAATATACATCTAACCCAATTCCATTGTATTAACACCTTTATGGGACATTATAATGGCCTTCTTTGGTATTAATACCAAGGAATGATATTTTTTTTCCTTCAAGGGTCTATGCAGTGTATCATGTTTCCTTAGGAGTGTCTTAGCTGTGCTACTGGTCTGGTGTCACTTGTTTATGACAGTCTGGGAACTACTGCCTGAAATATTTTGTAGATTGGCCTTCCATTGGTATTTGTCAGATATGGTCCTAATTACAACTCTGACAGATACTCCTTTAAAGTGTTTTTCTTTAACTTGTAAATGTACATGGCTGACTTTATAGACCAATTGTAAGTTGAAAATTCCATAAGTCACAATGGATTGAGGGTCGGTGAGATGGCTCAGCAGAGAAAGGGGCTTGCTGCTAAGCCTGATAACCTGAGTTCAATCCTCAGAACCCACATAAAGGTATGCCTTGGTTACTTTTCTTTTGCTGTGATAAGATACCATGACCCAGGCAACTCGCAGAAGAAAGTTTATTTGGAGCTTACAGTGTAGAGAAGGTTAGAGTCCATGGCCTTCATGTCAAGGTACGGCAGCAGGTGAACAGGCGTGGTACTGGAGTAATATCCGAGAGCTCACCTCACGTCTCGAGCTACAAGCACAAGGCACAGAGATAACGAGGAATCACCTCACTTCTCGAGCTACAAGCACAAGGCACAGAGATAACGAGGAATGAGCTTTTGAAACCTCAAAGCCCGCCTCCAGTGGTGCACTTCCGACAAGGCCACACCATCTAATTCTTCTTAAACAATGTCTTCACCCACTGGGAAAAAGGATGGACATGAGACTATGTGGCCATTCTCACTCAAACTGCCAAAAGGAAGGAAGAAGACAAGAGACTCCCACAAGTTGTCTCCGAGCTCCACCCATGCACTCTGTCAGGCATATCTCTACACAAAAAATAAATGAACGTTTAGAATACTTAATTAAACAAAATAGGGCTTATTCTGGAAATAAATGGGAATGACACTTGCAGTGTTCCAACATTGCATATAAATCTCTTTAGACACCTTACTAGCTACAATTCTTACCTTTTGTTCTAGATCCTGGGCCAGCAACTACCTGAGGCCAAATTTAACTCCCTCCCTATTAACTTGCATATTAGTCCTTGTTAGTTTGCATAATGTCTCAGGTGCTTCTGAGTTGCTAGTGGGACAGAGGATTAGCTGCAAAGGAGACCGGTGGCCACAGGACCCAAAATATTTATCTGATCTCTGTACTAGAATATTGAGAGGGAAAACGTAGAGGCTTGTTTCATAGTTTACCTTACAGACACACCACAACACACAACACACACACACACATACACACACACAAGATGGCTCAGTGGTTAAGAACGCTTGCTCAGGAAAAGGACTGGGTGGTTTTAGTTCCCATAACCCACACCAGGGAGTTCACAACCACCTGTGACTTTAGCTAATCTGGCCTTTGTGGGCACCTAGATATACACACCCACATATAACTAAAAATAAGGAAATACATAGTGAAAAAAAATAATGAAATAGCAAAAAGACTTATACACAATTAAATAGTAGCTAGAAAAATTAAGTGAACTTTTATTTATGAGAGCTGTCATAAACGTCTGCCTAAAACTAGCTACTTCTTAGGCCTTTGGAACCTAAAATTTATTCCATTTGAGGCAGTGTGTGTTTCTCAAAGTACAGATCCGAACTACTTGCAAATTACATGAAGCACTATTTAAAATACAGATGCTGAATACACATCAGAACCTTCCATCCTGCCATACCCCCTGGAAAGAGGATTTCTGATGCATACCTGCATATTTGATTACTACCAAGGTATGTGGTGCCTGAATCTTTTATAGCATTTACTAAGATAAAGCCGTCTATTTACTTGTTATCTCTCTTGGTAGGACTTCGAACTTCTTCAGGGTAGACACTGTGCTAACTACTTTTGTGTTCGAAGTTCAGAGTGGGCACATGGAGTGACTAGAGTTCACAACGGGGACCCCTGAATGATGGAGATGCTTCCAAGAGTAACAAAAGCAAGACTATTTTCATGAAACCGTGAGGATCACAAGTTCAAAGTCATGGCATCTTCAGCTACATAACGAGTCTGAGGCCAGCCTAGATCCTATCTCAAAAGAAAATGACAAACTATTTTAAAACTAAAGCAAATAACAGAGAAAACTCACAAGCCCAAGATAGTTTGATATATTTTAATGGTATTGGGATATGAAAAAAAAATTATGTTTTCAGATTCCAAATTGCGAGCAGAGAGGCATCGTTTTGGGGCCTACGTGTATAGCTCAGAGGCTGGGCTCTCGCCTAGCAAACCCCCAAGGCACTGAAAATTGATCTTTGGCACTGCAAAATGAAATATAAGGTCTAGGGCCTGAAGAGCTATTTTGATAGAGAGAGCATCTCCTGCTCTCGAATAGAACCAAGTTTGGCTCCCAGAACCAAAGTTACCATCACCTGTAACTCTAGCTCCAGGGGATGTGGCACCTCCTGACCTCCACAGACACCAGGCACACACATGATATGCACACATACGTGTAGGCAAGGCACTCATACACACAGAGTAAAATCTAAAAAGTGTAAAATGCCAGTATTAAGGACATTCCACCCTTCCCCCACCAAATGGGGGCTTACTCTGTGGACTAGAGTTACAGCATGTACAGTCCCTTGGGTTAAGGAGTGAGTTTGATCTCCAGGACCCCTACAGTGAAAGGAAAACTGACACCTGCAAGTTGTCCTCTGACTTCCACACATGTAGCAGCACATACATGCCACACACATACACACACATAATATTTTTTAAAGGTTGGAGACCAATATGGGGCTACATAGCAAGGTCATTGCAAAGCAAAAAGCATCACACACAAAAGGATGTTACATAAACGTGTGGATATCTGTGTGTAGCTGTTGACTTGCAGAAACTATGCGGTAAAAAAAGGTCCAGGTTCAGTTCCTTCTCAGTTTCTGGAAAAAAAGAACAAAACACTAGAACCCTTGCCTTATAATCAAGTTAGAAAACAGGAAAGCATCTCGTTTTTCCTCCCTGTGGCACCTGCTAATCAGGCCCTTCAGCAACAATCCACATCTCTAGCCCTGCCAGTCTCCAGAGAGCAGGGCTTAGGTGACTAGCCACCGCCATCACGTTACATCATCTAGGACAAAAATAAAACAAAATAAAACAAAACAATTTTTAAAAAAGCACCCTCACTTGCTGCCTCTTGTAGCATCCGTATCCCGCCAGACTCACCTCTTAGGATAGATACCTTTTTGACAACCTCTCGATCCAAATAGAAGGAGTGAGTGGAGACAGGGATGGGAGGTTGGAGGGCAGACAGACAGACAGACAGACAGACAGACAGACAGACAGACAGGGAGACCCTTCAGTCACCCCAGGGCTGCCCACCGGTGTTGTCAGGACCCACCCGGGGTCAGGATGTCCGATTCCCTTCGGGGGAAGCGCCGAAGTCTGGTGGGTCCGAAGGTGTCTTCTTCTCAGCTCCTCCCTCAAAGCTTCAGACCCGAGACTGGCCCGCGCGTGCCCCCCACACCGCCAGCGCGTGCCCGGCGCGTGCCCGGCGCCCGACGCCTGCCCGCAGGAGGAGCTACATCTCGCGCGAGTCCCCCGCACATCTCGCGACACTTCGGCGGGTCCTCTTGTGCCTCAGGCCCTTAACCGGGTGAGCAGACGCCGCCGGGCGCACTGCTCGCTGCAGGAACGCAGAGGAGCCCGCGGTGCAGGGGATCGGGGCGCGGCTGCAGGCTCCGCCCGTCCGCCCGCCCCGCCCGGCTTGGGAGGTAGGCTGCAGCGGGGATGTGTCCCGGCTTCCTTCACGAGGGCCGAGAGCACGAGCGGCGGCACGGACGAGCGAGTCCAGGTCCGCGCGGGCGCCTGGGCCGGGGTGAGCCGGGGGGTGGGGGCGCTCCAGTGTGCACGGGACCTCATCCGTGGGCGGCTCGGGTGCTCTCCGCTGGGGCGCGAGGACACGAGAGCCCGGATCTGGTGGCCCTTGCGTGGAGGGCAGGCCTCCGGAGGATAACGGGGAGGCCCGGGGAGCGTTTGTTCCTGAGCTGTGCGGTCGGATGTGCCCGGTGCAGCGATGCCGCTCGTCCATCTCCCACCCTGGGCTTTGGGCTCTGCTTCTGCGTTTGCAGCGCTAGTCCACTGGGTGCTGTAGTGTTGGGTCGGTGGGAACTCGTCGGTCATCCGTCACCCAGGGGTAATTGAGGTCACTTGTTACTTTTTACCCGAAACTCGGGCTCTCTGTCTTCGTGCGTCGGTGCGCAGCAATGGCTGCAGGCAAAGTTTCTGTTTGGGCGTTAAATGTGCCACAGCCCCATAGTGAAGCACTCTCTGAGAGTCGGCCAAAAGGGTTCTTAAGCGAATCGTTCTGTTTTATGTATATTAAGATTCCAATAGTTTTGTATATGTGTATGTAATAGATATGTATAATAGAGCCTGGGGCGGTAAAGCTACCTGTTATTACTGTATGACACACTTAGTGGCACACCTGGAAGTAGAGAATTTTCAGCCTTTGGTGGTGCTGTGTTTGGGTTGAAAATTGGGGTAAAAACATCCTGTTGCAGTCAATTTTTGACCCCTTGTTTCTTGAAATTTCCGGGTTTGTTAAAGAGCTTGTTGCATGATGAAACATTTTTAAGTTTTCTAAGGAGATTTGGTAGCCCAGTGCAGAACGGTGGAGCTGAACCTTTTGTTTCCCTCCCCAAGTAATTTTACATTTTTGTTTTAAATTATCTAACTTTTAAAGTTTGTTGTTTGTTTTCAAGAACGGCTTCCAAAAAACCATTATTGAGCGTGTGAATATTTACAGTGTTGATAGAGGCAAAATAATTGTCCTGATGGTTTTATTTTGTCTTCTAGAGCGAAATGTCATCGGGCGAATTGCACCAGGAGCAATCTCAGTCAGATCCATCCCCATCACCAAACTCCTGTAGTTCCTTCGAGCTGATAGACATGGATGTTAGCAGTTTGTACGAACCCGTTTCTCCACATTGGTTTTATTGTAAGGTGATAGATTCTAAGGAGCTCTGGATTCCTTTCAACTCTGAGGACTCCCAACAGCTGGAAGATGCACATGGCTCCGGTAGGAAGAAACTGCTGATTCTTAACAGACTGTATTAACAAGTGATAGCCCCTACTGTGATAGCTACTAAGATTAGATTTCAGAATTACTCTTATTTTCATCCTTTTAAATCTGTATTAGATTTCTGTATAATTATCCAGTATTTTCTGTATTCTAGCTTGTGTTTGACTTTTTAGTCAGAAAGTTTGTGTCTAGAGTATGGTGTCACATTGCAGACTGAGCTACCATGTCACTTTTTCCCTCAAGTAACAAGAATAGTGTTAGTGATGATATCGCAATTGCCATGAATTTGCCTATCCGTCACTCAAGTAAAAACTTCAGAAAAATCAATGTATGTATCTGTCTGTATGAGCATGTGAGTGAGTGTGTGTGTATGTGTGTGTGTGTGTGTGTATTTACAAGAGGCATTATTGACTTAGAAAAGGAAAAATATGTTCAGGTAGTGTTTATTTTTTTTCTCTAAAATATAATAGGCCTGACATACTAAAAATCGCTCATGAAAAAGATATGACCAAAAAAAAAAAAAAAGATGAAGAAAAAAAAGAAAAAGATAGGAACCAAATTCTGTCTACGATGTAGCCACGGAGAACTTCACGAGACTGTTTGGACTGTAACTTACAGTTGTGTTTTGGGAGAGTTGTTATGACTTAAGTGTACTTCTTTTCTCTTTTGCAACTCTTGATAGGGAAAGACTGTAACGAGAAAGTTGTTCCCACGGATGGGGGCAGGTACGATGTTCATTTAGGGGAGAGGATGCGCTATGCTGTGTACTGGGACGAGCTGCCATCAGAAGTCAGGCGGTGTACGTGGTTTTACAAGGGAGACAAGGACAATAAGTATGTCCCCTACTCGGAGAGCTTCAGCCAAGTTTTGGAGGTACTCCTCAGCTTCTTTCTGGGTTACCTACTCTCTTTGTCCTTTTCATCCGAGTGTTTAGTAATGTCTTAAAGTCTTCTATCAGATCATGTGAGACTTCCAGGAAAAGATAACCTGCTTTCATGCCATACTTTATGTAATTTCTCTCTTCAGGCTAGTTTCAAATTAAAGTTGTAGTTTCAGATTTCAAGTTTTATAGAAATCGGGTTGTGCCTTTTAAGTTTAAATGTAGCTGGGCAGTGTTGGTACACGCCTTTAATCCCAGCACTCAGGAAGCAGAGACAGGTGGAGCTCTTGAGTTTGAGGCTAGCCTGGTCTACAGAGTGAGATCCAGTACAGCCAGGACTACACAGTGAAATCTTGTCTCTAACAAATAAACAAGTTAATCAATCAATCAATCAATCAATCAATTCAATGTTTCCCAGTGGTAATTCTTGTTAACATCTAAAATATGACCACAAAAATAATCTTTACATAATTTTTATAAGATTTTTTTTTGATTTTTTTTTTTTTTTTGAAACAGAGTTTCTCTTTTAAGTCCTGGCTGTCCTAGAGCTTGCTATGTAGACTAGGATGGCCTCAAACTCAAGAGAGATCTGTCTTCTTCTGCCTTCCGATTGCTGGTACTAAAGGCGTTTGCCATGATGCCTAGCAATTTAAACTTTTATTTTTTTATTTTTTTAAGGTTTATTTACGTATGTGAGTACACTGTCACAGTCTTCATGCATAACAGAAGAGCGCATCAGATCCCATTACAGATGGTTGTGAGCCACCATGTGGTTGCTGGGAATTGAACTCAGGACCACTGGAAGAGCAGTCAGTGCTCTTAACAGCTGAGCCATCTCCCCAGCCCTTTTTTTTTAATTTTAATGAGGGAGTGTTTACTTGCATGTAAGTGTACCATGTGTGTGCAGTGCCCAAGGAGGCCAGAAGAAGGCATTGACGTCTGGAACTGGAGCTATAAATACTTGTGTGCTGTTGTCTGAGTGCTGGGAATTGAACCCAGGTCCTCTACAAGAGCAGCAAGTGCTCTTAATAGTCCCAATTTGTATTATTCTTACTCTGAGAAGTATATTGGTTTTCTTGAACTTGAAATAGATTATTAATATTGATGTTATTGAATAGTGATAAAAATCCAAAGTAATGCCGGGCGGTGGTGGTGCACGCCTTTAATCCCGGCACTTGGGAGGCAGAGGCAGGCGGATCTCTAAGTTCAAGGCCAGCCTGGTCTACAGAGTGAGTTCTAGGACAGCCAGGACTACACAGAGAAACCTTGTCTCGAAAAACCAAAAAACAAAACAAAACAAAACAAAAACCCAAAGTAGTATTTTTGTTTTTAATCTGTATTTTATTTATTTATTTATTGTTTGTTTGGTATGTTTCATTTTTTTTCTTGAGCCAGAGTCTCACATACCCCAAACTGACCTCAGAGTTAAAAGGTAGCTGAAGATGGTTTCAACTTCTGATATTCCTGCCTCTGCCCTCTTGAAGGCTGGGATCACTACACCTGGATTCATGCTTTGCTGGGGATAGAATTTGGGCCTTTCTGCATGTTAGACAAGGCCTCTGCATCTTTTTGAGACAGGATCTTCCTGTGCATTTCTGGCTGGCCTGGAACTTACTGTGTCACCCATGTTGGCCTGAAATTGAAAGTAATCATGTTTTAGCTTTCTAAGTGCTGGGATTACAGGGAGAGGCCACCATATGTGGCTGGTGGTCATTGTAAAAGATGTTAATGAGCTAGGAATACAGTCCATGGTACAGTGCTTGTGTAATATGTGGGAGGCCCTGGGTCCGTTCTCCAGCACTATACGACCACGAAGTTTAAGAGGAATTTGTTAACCTGGAGAATGATTTTCTTATTGGAGTCCGTTAATAAGTTCAGATTTAAAAGAAGTTGTTAGAGAGTCTAATATAAAATACGTTTTCTTTTAAGGATACGTACATGCTAGCAGTAACTCTGGATGAATGGAAAAAAAAACTAGAATCTCCAAACAGAGAAGTCATTGTATTACACAACCCAAAGGTAACGTGAAGTAAAGTGCATCAGTGAGGTTTCGATCACAGGTCAATGTATGACTAAGGAAAATCAGTGGCTCCTTTGTCCTGTGGACGCCACATAGAATAACCTTTGGCATGGTTTACATCGGACTGCTCTGTTATAAAGGCTGTTAATGCTTAGAGTCATTACTTACTGCATTCAGCGTGTCTAAAAATTTTCTTCTGTGTGTGTATGATGGATGGATGTATACAATGTGTGTGTGTATGTGTGAGTGCATGTGCATAAACAACAACGTGCTTGTTGAAATCAGAGGATAGATTTGAATGTCAGTTCTGTTCTAGCCTGAGACAGAGTTCCTCATTGTTCTCTGATGCGTATACCAGGCTAGCCAGCTTTTAAGGCTTTTCCTGTCTACCTCCCAAAGTCCTGTGTTCTGCCTGACATCTTAGCATCAGGGTGCTGGGGTTAAGATTCATGTACTGTTGTGTCCACCATTACACAGGCTCTGGACATTTTAACTCAGGTCCTGCACTATGTTAGCAGTGAGTGCTTCACACACTGAGCTCTCTCCCCAACCCTAAGAATTTTTCTTAGGGAAAATGATCTATACATTATGTAGGCATGTATAGGATTTATTTTTTAAGCGAATGTCTCAGTATGTGGCCTTGGGTGGCTTTGAATTCACTATGTAGATCATACTAGCTTTGTGGACTGAGCTAATTCAAACTCACAGAAGTTCTTGCCTCTGCCTCCCACGTGCAGGAATTAAACGCGTGCACCTGGCCCATCTGATCTGCTAGTTTGATGTATTTTCAGGCTTCTTACTTTCAGCTACAGAACTTGCATGTCAAAGCTTCAGTTGAGGTTTTGTTATATGAAAGATGCTTTTCTGTCATTCAAAATGTATTAAATCACAAGTTAATGTAGACTACATTGTTCTGATCTTTTCTGTTTAAGCTCATGGTGCATTACCAGCCGATTGCAGGGTCTGATGAATGGGGTTCAACATCCACTGAGCAAGGTCGGCCAAGATCGGTAAAAAGAGGCGTTGAGAGCATTCCTGTTGATATTCACTGTGGTAATGTTAATTTGTTATTTTTCTTGATGTTCTGATGTTGATTTGTTCTTGAAATTGTGGCTTTCTTCTTTGGATTTGTATTACTTCGAAGGACTAAAAATGTCCTTTAATTATGTGAGTTCATTCTAAATTAAGACCAGTATCACTTCATCTAAGTCTTTGCTCTTGTTTTTATTCTTGTTTTTTGACAAGTGTCTCCTGTATGTTAGGACAAGGGTCTCCTGTATGTTAGG